GGGAATATACCTCTCATAAGTTCAAAAACTTACCAGATTTATTATATAGATTTATAACTGAATAGGACTCCTTTTAGAAAATATCAATCATTAGAAAATCGAATCATGAAAAATTATTGCCCATGGAATAAGTTGGTTCCTCAATAATTCATTGCCTGTATTGGGCTATTGCATGTAAGAAAGTCTTTAAAGCTATTAAATCTATCTATCCAGTTAATTTGTTCTCAGTAGTGAAATTCAACTAATAACCATTTAGATTATGCAGTTTGGAAATCACATTGCTCATACATCCCAAGCAATTTATAAAGAGTTAGGAAGATTTTAGGTTCTGGCAATTAGATCCTCTTACACTTGGAGCAGTCTATCCTAGATATAATCCATGCAAGACTTTTGAGAAAATAATCTCATTTAGAGACAGTCTTTCCAAAACATAAATCATGCATGATTTGGAAAAACAATGATAAAAAAACTATGACCACAAATTTCCGTCAAACTTGGTCTGTAATCAAGACAATCATTTTGGGGTGGACGAAGATGAAAAGATATGAAACAACAATAGCAATGGCAGCCTGTGTGCTCCTACGCAGAAACATAAAAGAAGGGAAATCAAAATGATAAAAATTTTCAGGATAACTACACAAATCAAAGATAGGAGTAGCTGAGCTGTCATAGTTAATTGCAAGAACTAAAGCTCTCAACAACAGGGATAGGGCTTCTCAAAGAGATGAATCTTAAGTCCATTTGATATTACAATCTATTTAGATGTCACAGACATTATTTGCATTGGCTGCTGACAATTTTTGGAGATTAATTCCCCCTAACAAATCTACTACATTCCCAATAGCAACTTTAGCATCAAACACAACTTTGCACATCCAGAGGCAACCAACCAAACATCACCAATTTCAACCAGAAGATATATAAGCAATCCCTAAAAAACATTGTAATTGTTTCATATAAACCCAAAATATACTAAGTTGATCCATATCAGTTCCTGAACCTGATTTGTAAAGAAAGATGCGTATACGTGTATGCCCAAAACTGGGAAAAGGGGGTTCTCAAATTTCGAGTTATCTACATGTAGATCCAAAAAGACGAGTTTATAGTGACATGTACGGACAAATTCAAGCCATAAAAAGGGGTTTGAAATTGGGTGGTAATGGTATATACCAGAAGCCAAGAGGATGAAGGCGAGCTTAGCAGCTTCATTGCGGGCTTCCCTGGAGGATTTGCATATATTGGGCGTGTCAAAAGTGATGCCATTGACGGATACAGAAGCTTTGAATCGTGGGTTGTGGTCTGGTCCATCCTTCATACACACATAGCAGGGTAAACCCCACCTCTTTTGGTGACACAGTTCTTGCAGCCTTGACTTGTACATTCTCTCTCTCCCCCCCCCCAGAGTGAGAAGGTTGCAGAGGAACAATGGGGATGGTGAAGAGGAAGAGTTGATATGGTTGTATTGAAGCAGTCTCTAGACTCCCGAGTGTTTTGTTAGAGAGAGAGAGAGAGAGAGAGAGATAGAGCATCAAACGCTTCCTGCATGTTGTACTGTGCTAGTACAGGAAGATTTTTCTGTTGTTGGTTGTTTGGAGGGAATCATTACGGACACCGGAATTGCATACAACGCGCGATGATCAAAGATATATCGAATGTGATTTCGTTAAAGTGCATGTAGCAACAATCCAGGTTTGAAAAGAGCTTTCTGGGTTTCAGGCTTAGGTAGCCATTGTTTACGTAACTACGTCTAAATGTAAAACTATAAGGGAGCAAAGTGTAAATATACCACAGTGAGGATTTTAGCTATTGAAACAAAATGTACAAGTTGAAACCAATTCTCAACTTGAACTACAGGGACATATTGCCCAAAGCAAACCCATCAACAAGCTGCCTACAGAGAAGTTCACCACAGGCCACAGTGATCCAGGAGTCCCGTGTAGAAGGGCTCTCACTCGACGGATCAAAGGTATGCCGGGATAACAAAAAAGTGGAATATGTACGCCAACAAAAAAATGGATCAATTCAATCCTCCATTTAAACTGGTGCTTGACTTTCACTCCTCAATGTCAGTTAGTTTTAGATGTCCTTCAAGAAAGACTCACATGGCAAAAAAATACAACCATGAAAAAACAAAACAAACTTAAAAGGAGAAATAAAAACAAGAATGCCCAGATCTCATACATGCACTCGGAAACTAACATGAATTCGTCTTCGCAACAGAAGCCCACGGATTCATCGTGCTATGAACGGGGATTCTCCTCTTCCTCTCAACAAAACATGAGCTTTCCGAAATCACTAATCACTGGCCAGCTGGGTGCGGAGGAGCTTAGCAGCAGCAACCATATTACTAAGCGCAGGCTTCACTTCAGAATACTTGCGTGTCTTGAGGCCACAGTCAGGGTTGACCCAGAGGATGTTTCTCTCAAGAACTGCAAACATCTTGTTGATCCGTTCAGCAATCTCTTCTGTAGATGGGATCCTTGGGGAGTGGATGTCATATATACCAGGGCCAATGCCAGCACCATACTTCACTCCTCCTCTAAAAACTGAAAGAAGCTTCTCATCTGACCTAGAGTTCTCGATAGTGATCACATCAGAATCCATGTCTATAATCGAGTGGATGATATCATAGACATTAGAGTAGCACATGTGGGTGTGGATCTGTTCAAGGACATTGACACAATGATATTTAGAAGCCTGAGAAATGTACTTTTATAAACAAGTCAAACTCGATCTTTTTTTGCTTCGTATTGTTGTCCACATGGTAGGACTTTACCCATGTAGTTCATTGCATCATTTTAAGATAAGATGATGTGATGATGCTTCACAAATGTCAGATGTTTGAGTCTGTTCAAATAAATCCCATCTGTTTTGAAACAATCTGTGCTGTTTCACAAATATTATAAAAGCATCACACCATATGCTCATATCTCTCACCATGCCTTCCATACAAACTGATTATAAAAACATTCTTTCCAAATATTATATTAAGGTTAGAACATTAAAATAGATACAACTTAATGCCCTTTTTTGGTGGAAGGACCGAGTTGAGGGACCTGGATGTGGAACCCTCAATCTAATACAAGGGATAAAGCCACGAAACCACCTACCATAAGGCTGATGATAAGTTGTAGTGCGAAATAACCAGCAATTTAGGTGGAAGACAGGTATAAGACGAGTGAAAATAATAGCTCAATGTAACGAAAGAGGGTAGAGCACAAACCTGGGTACTATCTTTAACACCACAGTTGGTAATTCTGAAGGAATGCACAGCCCAAACCAAGTAAAAAGCTTGCTCAGACTTCCTCAGAGGCAAACCTTCTCTTAAAGCAGCCTCATCAATTTGAATGACACTGATGCCAGCTTTCTCAAGGTCCTCAACCTCATCCTTGATGGCCAAAGCAATCTGATAGCAAGTCTCAAATCTAAGAAGATGACAAGTAAAGCGTTAAAATTGTTGCAATATCCTACAAATTGGAACACCCATGAAAGAGTTGGCTCAAGTGCCATACCTGGGCTGGTCATCTCTTACAAAGGTCCAGTTTAGAATGGTAACGGGGCCAGTAAGCATTCCCTTCATTGGCCGCTTAGTCATATTCTGAGCCAGTGAGGACCAGAAGACAGTCATTGCTTTGGGACGACTCACATCCCCATAGATGATAGGTGGCTTGACACAACGGGACCCATAAGATTGAACCCACCCATTGACAGTGAAGGCAAAACCAGACAACTGCTCTCCAAAGTACTCAACCATGTCGTTCCTCTGTATTTAAAAACAAATTTCTGGAAATATTATAATTCTGAGGCATACTTTTGCATAATCACCTAGTTGAAGTATTGTGCCGTCCAATCCAATTCGAAAGAATGCTCACCTCCGGCTCACCATGTACCAACACATCAATCGAGCTCTTCCTGGAGCTTGACAACTTTGTTGATTTCTTCCTCGATAGCCTTAACATATTCTTTCTCAGAGATTCTAAAAGTATAGCAGCAAAACAATTTAAGATGCTGTAAAAGGTGAAAACAGTTTCTTAAAGTCAAAGGAAAACAACAAGAAGTACAGGTGAAAATATTTTTCTTCTTTTAATATTCAGCAAGCAAGGAAGAGAACTTACTTGTTAGCCTTGTATTCACGACGAACTTTTCTCAGCTCCATTGTCTGAGGGAAGGATCCAGTAGTCGTTATTGGTAGAATTGGAAGGTTCAGTTTCTTCTGCTGAGCATCCAACCTGGCACTGACATTTGTAGATCGTCGATGATCAGAGCCCTTCAAAGCAGCAGCCTAAGAAAGAAAAAACAGTCCTAAGTATGATCAAGAATATCCATTGCATGGTGCTGAAAATGTGAAGGATGGAAATAAAACCCATAAAGACACTTACAGCCTTTTGAACAACCTCATTAGTCACCCTTGGCGATGATTTTCTTGAAGCCTGAGCTGCAGCATTGGCAGAGAAGAATGCCTGAGGACAGAAAAATCAGAAGTAAGGAACATAATCGAGTAATAACAAAAACCATAATGGAGTTGAGGGACCAATTGACCCTTTAAAATTTCCAGTTACTATCTCAAGTATCTAATTGATGCACTGTGAAACATATACAACGAGTGGGATAGAGTAGATCTATTAACTAACATGTTTATTGGAGTAACAAAACAATAGTAATATAGCAGGTCAAATCCAAACCTTTTTTTTATCACATTCATTTTAATTCGAAGTTTTCAATTAGAGAATTTAAGATCCCTCAATCCCTTAGACATTGTACACTTTGAGTTGCACAAACAAATTGAGGAGTTTCAGAGAAATTATAACTTCAATTTTCAAAGGAGACAATCTTCTAGAAACATCCAAAAAATGATAAGTGGCCTATTATTAGGGACAACAAGAACAAGATTAAGTAAGATCGATGCTATCTTATTTTTCATTTTATACATGACCTAAATTGGTTACCTGTTGAAATGTCTAAAGTTCTGTTGGGACCTTTGAATGTTTACTTTTAGCCACAGATGCTACATCACTTAATTAATTAATTGAAGATAGGATTTATGGAAATGTCAAAGTTAAATACCTCGTCTTTCTGACCAGATAATGCCTCCGCCAAGGCATTGACTTCAACTACTTTCTGTGCAGCAAATGCAAGCCATGGCATTATCTCTTTGTCCAACTTAGTCTCATTCACTAAATCAACCGCAGTGTGAAGAAGAGAGCAGGAGGTAGAGACCACAAGCTAGTCTGTGGAACATTCCAAAAGGGATTGATCAAAATCCATTTCCCCCAATCTCCATGGAAGAAAAAACAGAAAGGCAAAGAAAAACCTCTCTCCAATTGTGACAAGCTTCCAAATATATTTGGAAAGACTTTCTTACAATATTTCCTTCTTGTTTTTTACTAGACACTGTCCCTGCGTATTGCACCTGTGCAATGCGCAAGGATGACAACTGGAAAAGAAGCAAATGAAGCACCAGAATAGGATCTTTTCCCCATTGTTTTTCATAGGAACATTTTTTCTCCAAATTTATAGTCAAAACTAATGAACCAAGTATTGAACATTTTGACATTTCATTCAATATCATAATTTTGGCAGTGAATCAGAGAAACAACTGTAGGTTATGATGGCTTGGCATCCAAAACTTCAATGACTGCATAAGAGCACGAGGAATTTTACAAGATGCGCGGCAATTGATGGAAATAAACAGCCAATTTGGTGGATTAGTAGCAATATATTTGAAGCATATTGCTCTAGGATCATTACAAAAGGTTACAGAATTGAAGCACTCTACTATGTGAAAACAGAATGTACTCTGGATTATCCTAACTGTTTCAGGCTCAAAATTCCAAGAGTGATCCATCATAAGTTTTCCCAACAGAGGATTAGGCTCAAGTGAGACTAAATTTGTCTAAGAGCTGGACAGCCAGACCTGGGGAAGTGGTGAGTTGAGAGGATAGAGCTCAAATGAGATGCACTTCTCTCACCAAAGACCCCATCGAATGCTTAAAATAATGACCTCCTTGATAGTTTAAATACTTCAAAATGATTGTAGATGTATAACATCACTTAATATTATAATATTACAGTTAGAAAGTTGAATTCGAAACTTATTAAAGCCCAATAACAGTCAAAATTGATTCAATCTTCATGTATTTTGATCTAATGATAAAAAATTCATTCCAAATTTTTTTTCCCGCTCAAAAAAATCATCTTCTATGCATGGTCCCAATGTTAGACAACTCAATCAACACACTCTTCAATGTCAAACAATCTCATTAATCCACACCTACTTCTTTTTTCTTCCTTTCTTTTTTTTTTTAATTTCAAATTGCATAATTACAATAAATAAATAAATTTCTATTTAAAATATAACTATTGCAAGATCAATGTTCAATTTTTTGTACAAGGAGTTATTGCTATTCACTTAATATTATAGCTAAATTTATGAAAATCAACTCTACAACACAAACCTTTTCCCACTATGCCCTCAAGAGCCTGCAAAGTATGGAGAGAAGTAGCAAGATCATTAGCCCAAATGTTCCTTCCGTCAACCACTCCAGCAAAAAGATATTTACCTGAAGGGAATCCATCCTTAATTAAATCAAGGGTCTTTGACCCACAAACAAAATCAAATCCGTAACCAGTTATGCCCTTCAAAGTAGTGATTGTTTTGTAAGCCTCGGCAGGAAGATCAGCAAAGTATGTCTCAATGACAACATTTAAGCCAAAAAGAGATGGCTCTAGCTTGGAATATGCATGAGTAAATGCTGGCAATTTGTGAGAGTCAAGATCCATCACAAGGGTGGGCTCATCAAACTGAATCCAGGTAGCTCCGGCTGCCTTGAGTTCAGTCACAACTTCCCTGCACAGTAGATGCATCAGTAGAATAGCTTTGTGGAGTAGAAACCAAACTAAACAAACATTTCGTAAAGGACATGTCATGTTCTTACTTGTATATAGGAAGTATCTTATCAATCAAAGACAGAAGAGAGAATGACTTATCAACACCCTTTGCCGGTTTTGATAACAGCAAGTATGTAACTGGGCTTACAAGGACTGGGACAGTTTCAACTCCAAGCTGCGTCGAAGAAATGTAAGAACGTAATGAGCAAAAAGGTCCAAATAAATTCGATTAATCATACAAGAAACACCATTGATGGATCTGACACAAAGAGGCTTGAGTAGTACTTCATTGTGTTGTAGCTAAATGACCTATGACGGGAATTGGGAGAACCTAAGAGTCACAACTGACGTACTAGCAAAAGACACACAAACCATCAAAGGAAAAGTTAGAAAACCAGTGAGCTCTAAATCTTTGTAGTTGTCGACAGCTTCATGAACATTTGCAACAAGAAGAGCATCACAGGAAGGAACCAGTGTCAGCAATATATACACTTCATAGATTGGGGTGAAGAGGCTATCAATTGTTTCGGATATGTGAAGTCATTCAGCAATAAGAACAAACAGAGTTGAAGTTCAAGCAACAAACCCCTCCAAAGGTAGTATGGGTGCGCTTGAGTACAGCATAACCCACAAATACCTTTTGAATAAAAAGTCTCATACCAAAAAATGCACTGTGTAATGGGTTCGAAACATGTTTTCTGAAGCTGTGAGAGCAGGATAATCAAATCAGGGAAAGCCAGTGGAGGCAGACAATATGGAGGATACCATAAAGCCTGGTTCCATTATATTGCATATGCACCATGCTTTAATGATCTTTCAGTCCAGTTATAGTGTAAGATGAGACAATTCATGAATAAACAAGTTAGCACCTTCCATGGAAATGATATCCCTCTGTATCTCATGTAGAATCTAGTAAATTCCTCTATCCCTGATTAATTTCAAGTATCCCTAGTCAGTTGCACATAAGTGATTGTTTTAAAACTGCATTTAATGCCTTTCCAGTTTTTACAGACATTCATTGAGCTACCTGCAGGTTCTGTATAACAAAATAGAGCAATTCCATCCTTTACTATTTTAGTGGCAATTGGCAAGTCACGGATGGGCTCATAGTGCTCAAGTATACTCTTTTAATAGGCATGTTGCTCCTCCAAACATGAAATGCCCCAAGAAATCAATGAGTGACATAGAATTGCACAAAACACCAAAAAAAAATAGCAAAGAAAGATCCAGAAAATTTACAGCTTTAGCCTCCCTGTACTCGTGCACTGCCTTGTGAGATGAAATGGACAATGAAACATCTGGTCCCAATTCAGGGACAATGAAATGGCTGCATTATTAAATCACCTATAGCAGTCAATGGGTCCATTACAATAATAACCGATGAATAAGTGTTCAAATTGTGAGAAAAGAAACCATCACTTACTAGTTGGTGTCAAACCACTTGGTCATTTCCAAGGCGGGAACAGAGGCATTACCTCTAGCCATGGAAAAATAGACATCTAGGGGGAACAGCACCAAGCATCGCGGTGGTATCTAACACTTGATCGTAATACGAGAATGTGTTGCTTGGCATATATTTGATCCCAGCATCAGCCATCTGCTTCCAGATGGATGCCCTGAGATCGACCGCCACCTTCTGCAACTCCTCAGAATTACTCTTCCCATCCCAGAAATATTCTAAGGCAAACTTGAGCTCTCGCTTGGGGCCCATGCGAGGTTAGCCAACAACATGAGACGCCATTGTCCTGCTTCACACAATGCTGCCAAAAAATAAGATTGTGCATTTTTGTATATGGGTATACACATAAAATTGGAAATCCCCATTTGAAAAGTGCAACCCAATTACACAGAAGCAAGGATCAAAACTTAGTTTCAGTATCTAGTTAGCTTGAAAGCAGTTTCGGTAACACAACAGAAATAGACAAAAAATTTAAAATTTTATCTTTAAAACATTCCTAAACATATTGAAACATGACTTTCATTTATAGCTTTGTTTTGGTTATGGTAGAAAGGGTATTACATCAACCAATAATGAAAATAGCTAAACATTAAATCTAATGAGACAACTCTGAGAGCTTTCAGGGTATATCAGCCGAATCCTAGTAGATTTCTAAGTCCTACTCGAGTAAGGTTCCACTCTATAAATACCAGTGAAGTTTAAAGACTCAGGTATGCACTTTCCATTGTGAATTCCATGTTCTCTCTCGAGCCTTTTTTGACGAGCAACAGGGTGTCTCCATTGGTTTCTGACAATTTGTTCGTTTTGCAAGTACAGAAAGGTTCTCAAGTACAAATCATGAACCAAGCTTTTTGTTCTGGCAGGTGCGGATTTTACCACACAATATACACACAGGCACGCAAGTATTGTTGACTCAAATATGAGTGTAGCCATTTTCTAAGTAACAAACTCTAGTGTATGATGCTATCACAGTTGCAGGTTGGATATACAAATATGACTGTTGCTATTTTTGTGCAAATAATGTCAAATGCTCGATTTATAACCCATCCATATGCTCAATCAATATTGTCCAAAAAAATTGCTCAAGCAATTAAGGGGGCCTAGCAATAACTCCGTGTCTTACAATATAAAAAGTTGAGCATTGATTGTATAATATTTACATTTTAAATAGTAACTCCATGAACAACTCGATTCTTGTGTAATTTCGGACACAAATTGGTATTAGAGCCAGTACCAATTCTGATTACTATTTAATTATTATATACGAGTATTGTTCATTCTGTACTATATATATTGGGATATTTTTCATATGGTACTAGTCATTAGTATGGTATACGGTTACTATTCATCCGGTAATATTCATTGTGTACTATTCACATGGTATTGGGGCCGTGCTAAAGTCGGATGATGCTTTCGCGTGGAAAAAATTTATGAATAAATTTTATATCATTGGATCGAAGTAAATGAAAATTATATCAATTTCGACTGTTGTTGCCTTTTTATAAGTTGAAAATTCACATATTAGCTATAATGTTAGATAGATGTATGTATGTATACACAGATATATTCGTATATGTTAGGTATGATGAGATTAATGGGGTATCAAAGACTAAAACAGGACATCAGTATCAATAACAATACGATAACAAAATAATCAGAGCATCAGTATACGGACCAATGACAGATTAAGAAGAGATACAAAAGCACCAAAGTTTACCTTACGCGGAAGAAAGTGAGACGATTGTTGGTAGTGAAGGAGGGAGTATCAGTAGCAGTACCCAAGAGACCGAGGGGAGAACGGAAGGAGATAAGAGCAGCTGTGTGAGGAGAGAGAGGCGCGAGTGTGGGAAGCACTACTGAGATCATTTGTCTTATTTATAGTACCAGACCACTTGCCCTCTGCTTTCATCTTCCTCCCTCGGGATGTACTAGACTCGTATCTTCTTTATTTTAAGGGAGAATTACACCAACACCCATTGAGTTTAGATCCGTGACATGTAAAATTTCATATTAGTAAATTATACATTCAAATCTTTTAAAATTTGTGTACATATAGTATTTAAAACTTTCAAGTTTAAAATAAAAAATATTTTAATCAAATATCAAATATTTAACATTTTATAGTCAAAATTCATGTTCTATTATGTCATTTATTGATATAAAATTAAAATTAAAAATTTAATTTTTTTTAAGAAAAAACATAATTGATGTACAATTATATTATCTATTGGAATAAAACTAAGAAATAAACAAATGATCAAACTGTAATAGACATAATATCTTCTATCTTTAATTGAAGTAATTTATTCATTTAATAGATAATATAATTGTATACTAATTATGATTTATTAAAATAAAATTTTATTTTAATAAATGACATAATAGAGTATGAATTTTGGTTATAAAATTTAAAATTTTTGATATTCTATTTTTAATTGAATTATTTTTTGTCTAAATACAATATTTTAAACTTAAGAGATCTAAGTATTACACGTCTATAAACTTCAAATAGTCTGAATATAATTTACTAACGGGCATACATATGTATAAATTTTAGGGACTCAAGTAATTAAGTGACTTTGATAAAAAAAAAAAAAGTAATTAAAACTTTAAGAGGTCTACGTGTAATTCTTCCTTATTTTTAAAAAAAATTACACTTTGACCACTAAAACTATGTCACTCATTTTACATTACTCCTAAAGTTAGGGGTATTAATAGAGCTCAGATTTGCCAGCATCAGCTTGAATTTGTCCAAGTCAGCAGATGTTCTTTCTGTCTTAGAGCTTCACAGTATCCTCCGCATCTTTTTATTAAGAGTAAATTGCACCAATAGTATTTGAGGTTTGTCGCTCATTGTATTTTCGTATTTAAAGATTTTATTTCATCAATTTTGCCTTTCGTACTTACATATTGACTCACTTTAGTCTTTACCCTTAACCGCCGTCCAAATAATAGACGAAAAATATCATGTGCTTGGCACATAAGGAGATTAAGGGGCATTTTTTATATTTTATATCTATTTATGCATCCAAACATAATTATTATTCATTAAACATGAACTCAAACACCCACCTTATTCTTCCTTTCTTTTATCTCTTCTCTCTCCCTCACACACACATAAATCCTTCTCTCTTCCTCACACACACCAACATCCTTCTCTCTCTCTTTCTCTTTTGTTACTACATCTCCACCCCCAAACCCAACACATCTCTCTCTAGTGCATCTCCACCTCCAAACCCAACACATCTCTCTTTTTCTGTTTGTCTCTCTCTCCCTCCCTCTACGTCTCCACCCCCCCAAACCCAACACATGTGTCCCTCGAAAACCCTAACACAAAACACATCACAAAATCACAAATACACACCCACACACACAAAACCACAGTCACACATACCCACATGGATTCAGAATTTGATTTTCCAAGACCTCCTTGGCCAATCAAGCCCCAATTTTTTCCAAACCCACAATCACAACTTTCATCTCTGAATTTGGGGGAGTTGCAGCGAGCGATACTTGATGCTTGGAGTTATAGCGAGCGATGCTTCTAAGCTTTACGAAAGAAAGAGATTGTTGATTGGGGTTAGGGTTTATACCCCTGTTTGTCATGCATTGAACACACACACACACACACACACATACAGAACCATGGAGAGAGTAAGGAGTTTGTTGAGGTGGTGGCAATTGTTGTGGTTGTTAGTTTTGCCAATGTCCTTGTCATCGGTGCCGTTGAAGAGAGATAGATTATTTTACAGAGTTATATATTCATATAATAAAGTAAAATATAATTCAAATCGTAAAAGATAAACAAAATGACTTTTATTTTTCCCGATTGGGGATCTCTTTGAAATTTACTTTAAAATTAATTCGACTGCTAATAATAACACCCTAAATTTAATAGGAAAAATAGACTCTTAAAGTTGTGTTTGGAATAACTTTTTAAAAATGTTTCTAAAAATTATAATTTTTCATAAGTACTTTAAAAAAAAGTAGCGTGTGGAACTGCTCCACCACCTCCACCCCACCACCATCACCATTACCGCCACCACCACAACTACCTTCACGACCACCACTACTGCTCCCACTGCCGCACCACCATTGTCGTCGCCACCATCACCACCACCATTGTCACCCTCCACCACTACCACCACTGTCACCACCCCACCACACCCACCGCCCCATCACCACCATCATCACAACCACCACCCCCATCACCCCACCGCCACCGCCACCATCACCACCGTTGTCACCACCCTACCACCATCACTGCACCACCACCACCACTATCGTTGTCACCCCACCACCACCTTGTCCACAACAACTGCAACCATCGCCCCACCGCCACCATTGCCACCCTACCACCATCCTCATTACCACCACCGCTATTGTCCCTCCATCGCCCCTACCACCACCACTCTCATTGCCCCACCACCACCATCACCATTGTCACTCATGACTACCACCATCACAACCGATCATCGTCACCCATCACAACCATCCCCATCTTCTACCACCACCACCACTGTCGACCACTACCACTCGCCCCCACTACAATCGGTGCTTAAATTATTTTCTCTCTCCTCTATCTTTGTAATTTGATTTTAGGTGTAAATACAAATATACTTATTATTGACCATTTTTTTTATTATTGCGTGCCTTCAGAAATGAGAAATAACTAGTATATATATAAATATATATATATATA